TGCCACCTTGGTCAATATGGGCAATAACAATTGCCCACGTAGTGTGCGATTGCTGCGGCTGGACAGAGTCCATAACTTCACCTCCCCCTCCCCAAGATGGGAAGTGACGTGGCTCATGGACTGGGCAATCCAAGCCAGTGTCCCCACCACCCCACGTCTCCAGATAAAAGGCCCCATAAACAAAAAATCCAGAAAACAGCCTGAACCTTCCCTGTTCCACTCACATGTTTCCTGTTGGGTGGCCAGAAGCCTGAAACAGCTGAATTCCTGGGCGATCTACAAACCTCTCCCATCCCCAACTTCTTCAAATGTTTTATTCCAAAACTTGGTCCAAGCAAAAAAAAAAGTTCCTTCATAAACTCAAGTGCTAACACTGAACACATGAGCCGGAGAGCCAGAGATCCAAGTGGAAACAAACGCCCAGTTCTTGCTAGGTGAGTATCGTCGAACGTGTGAGCAGGCAGATGGGTTTATCTCAAGTGGGTTCTTGCAGAGGATGCCTCTCACCAGGGATCCCAAGCGCTTGCAAAAGACAGCAACTGCTTTTGGAGAATCACATGCTCAGCAAGCAAGGATCCCTCCTTTCAGCCTGATCTAGGAGATGTGGAGGGTTCTGCAGGCAATGTGGCTTAAAATGAAGCCCAGTGCAAGCTTTTGATCTATACAGGATAGTATGTGCTCATGCATCACTGAGCCGGCGGGCTAAATTTAAACAGTCCCTTCATGGACAGAATCTGGATTCATTACTTTGTTTTGGGACACACGGGTCATTTGAGTTTCTACATATAGGACACAGAGGTGGGAGCAACAGGAACAGTTTTTGTCAGGCTAACACCGTGTGTCTTAGCTGCGACAGGATCATCGTCCTATGTCAAAAGTGATTGCTGTTGGAGAGAGCCAGCGGGCTGGTAGAAAGGTTTCCCCAGCTCACAAAGGACTGCAACAGGAGGAAACACTCCATCACCAGGAAGTGACACTAATATATTCTATTAGATTTGCTTATCATGTTAAAGAGTGTATTAAAAGAAAATGTTTGGAAAAGGGATGCCCTAACGTGGGATGATGGATGGAGAATTCCTAATTTGGAAAAAATGTGCTAAGAGGACATGATGGATGTGAGTGACCTACTTTATTTTATAAGAAAGTCTGAGTTGCCTGGGGCCCATTGGTACACATATTTGGAAAAAGTTGTTTTTTTTTCCACATTAAGTTTTTATTAACATTTTCAAAAGAGCGAAAACACCATAGAAGGATATAAGTTTTGACTCGTCAACGCAGATGTGTTTGTAATCATTTGCTGTTTGGGAAAACGTGTCCCCTTGCTCGAAGTACTTCTAAATGAGGAGTGTCTTGCCAGGGGATCACCTGATGGGGGAACAACGTGACATCCTTTCCGTTGATAAAAAGTGACAGGGAAAGGGTGTTTCTATTGAAAGCCCAAATGGATCCTCTGCCACATGTAAGTAGTGACCTCTTACAGTGGTGAACACCTCCCGGAGGCCCTGCCCTTCTGCTGCAAGGGGCAAAGGATCAAGGCTGAGTTAACCATTCTCGTTCCACCCTAGATGATGGAGCACAACGCTGAGAATCCCCGACATGAGTCAGGAACTCTGGGGTTTGTCTAGGCAGCAGAAGGGACTGCCAGGGTTCTCCAGGGGACTGGTGGCAGACAATACTCCATCACCACTGTAACGATGTTGTCAGAACCTAAGAAATACCGGTGGTGTCACGTTTACTGCAGCAAGTGGGATGGAAGGGGAGAAGAGTGCCAATTTGTCACAAATTGGATTGCTACATATCTGGTTCTAGAAATTCTTTAGGAGATACAATTAAAAATAGTTACCAAGATTCAGCCAATAAATTGTTCACTATAGAACTATTTATAATAATAATAAATAATAATAAGAGATAGACTCAATCTAAATGTCTGAAGCTGGGGGACTGCTTAAATAAATTCAAACATTTAATGCAGCCATTAAAGTGATATTGTAGAAGAAGAATGTGGAAAAATCTTTAAAGCATCGTATTAAGTAGGAAAAGTGGGTTATAAATATTAGGCATGTTATAATGCTCTTTGAAAAACTTATGTAGGTTTACTGCAGCAGTTAGATGTAAAATGTTGTATATATTATGATTGACTTTTATAGTATATATGTGTATACATACAGATTTTGATGAAGGACACTTCACAGTTAGAAGTGACTGTGAAGAGTAGGTTTTATAAGCACTCTTTCATTTCTTTCCTTCTGAATGTTTGCATTTTCTACATAAGACATGCTTTACTTGGGTAATAAATAAATCAGTTTCAATGGAAAATCTAAGAGATGCAACTGGTTACTTAGTAGAAATAATCAAGAGAGCTTGCAAGGATTCCCAGACACAAACTAAATGGTTTTCTCATACAATAATACGAACTTAGAGATACAAAATGGAAAATTACTCCATTCCCAATAGTAAAACCAAAGCCTAAATCATTCACAAAACCGAAAATACACTGACTCATTCATGCAAGACGCATCTAAGACCTATTTAGAACCGAATAATGAAACATATCAAAGAAACTCTAAACAAATTACTGTTTCTGGTTAGGAAACCAAATATTGTGAAGGTTTCAATTCTCTCCCAAATTTGTTTATAACTTTTAGACAATTTCAGGGAAGTTTCTGATTAAGATAGCTGGCAAGTAGATTTTAGACATTATCTCAGAGCAGAGACATAAAAACAATTTTTTTTCTGAAAGAAAAAAAAACGAGAGAGAGGAAGTTTACCCTCTTGGGTCTTGGGTTTTAAAAGATACTACAAAGTGAAAGTGATTAAGCAGTGGATAATCTAGGGATACCAAACAAATAATGAGTAAAATGGAATGCAGAATAGAATAAACTAGATTAATGGAATAAAACATGGGCACCTACCATTTGATAAAGATTTAATTTCTTGTCAATTAAGAAAGGCTCAATTGTTCCATAAATTATTTTGAAATAATTAGTTACTCATTTGGAGGAAAATAGAGGGTTTTTTGTTGTTGTTGTTTTTACTTCATGCCTCATTCATAGGAAAAAAATGCCAAATGTATCAGATACATTGTTAAAAATTATAACAGTTATAAAGGAGGCTAAAGAATAATCATTTCATATTGGAGGATGAGAAAGACCTTTCTTGAAAAAAGACAAATCTCAGAATGCATAAGGGGAAAATTAACAATTCGACCTGCAAAAATATTTAAATATTTGAAAAAGGAAATACATACTATAATTAAAGAGTAAATTAGGAAGGAAATGCAAGCAATAGATGAGGGTCTTTACTAAATAAAGTGCTGTTCTAAGACAAGAAAAAGACCATCATATGCACAAGGCCCTGGGTTTGATCCCCCATACCACAAGCAAACAAAGAAACAAACAACAACAAAAAAAAAAAACAGTAAAAGATCATCGTTTCAACAGATGTATTGGAAAGACACAAGCAAGCTTTTTACAGAAGAAGAAATACAAATAATCACTAAGTACACTAATAATCAAATAAATATTGAACAGAAAAAAATGTTATTTTCACTTACCACTGTTAGTTTTAAAAAGGAACAATAGTCAATATACTTAGGGCTTGGAGAAAGACTTTTGATGCAGTAATTTCATCCCAGGGAATTGACCCTGTGAGGACTCACCAGATGGTCTGGCAGAGCTCTGGTGGTACAAGGCGGTTGAATGAACGAGCCAGAACTGTACCCTGGTGGAGGCAAAGTCTGAGAGATATTGACAAGTAAAGCCAGAGAGCAATGGATCTTTGCTGCCCCAATCTCTCTTTCCATGTGTGTGTGTCTCTCTCTTTGTCTCTTCTCTTTCTCTGTCTCTCTCTCTCTCTTTTTTTTTTCTTTTCTTAGCACCAGGGATTGAACCCAGGGGTGCTTAACCACTGAGCTATACCCCCAGCCCCCTTTTTAAATGTTTTATTTTGAGACGGGGTCTCGCTAAGTTGCTTAGGGCCTTTCTAGGTTGCTGAGGCTGCCTTTGAACTTGTGATCCTCCTGCTTCCTCCTCCTGAGCCCCTGGGATTATAGGCCTGCGCCACCCCGCCTGGCCCAATATCTCTTTAAGAAGCAGATGGACTATTTGTGTGTTTGGATAATTCTGTAGTAGATTTTTGACTTTCTTTTTGTCATAGATTTTTAAAGTCGTTCTGCTTTTATAATAAAACCTGACAAGGGGCTGGGGATGTGGCTCAAGCGGTAGCGTACTCGCCTGGCGTGCAGTGCGGCCCGGGCTTGATCCTCAGCACCACATACCAACAAAGATGTTGTGTCCGCTGATAACTAAAAAATAAATATTGAAAAAATTCTCTCTCTCTCTCTCTCTCTCTCTCTCTCTCTCTCTCTCTCTCTCTCCTCTCTCACTCTATCTTAAAAAAAAAAAAAAACTGACAAAATCTGCCCGTTGAGATGGGGTGACTTGCCCAAGGTTGACAGCTTGTCAGGACAGAAGGAGCTGGGTCTCCTGATGCCCAGGTTGCTGGTGCTCCTGCAGAGTCCCCTCTTCTTACTGAGCATAGCCTCTTAGCCAAAGGGGGCCACAAATGCCCCCAAATTTGCCACTGGCAGCCACCTGTCAGCTTGCAGAACACCCAGATCCCAGGCACAGGCAGCTGGGAGGAGCTCATGCCAAGGCCGAGTGTAGTGAGCCCCGGGGAAGGGGGTGCTGCAGTCTCAGTGGTGCCTGGACTGCTCAGCGCCTGCTGAGCAGTGGTGCCAGCTGCCCGTGTGCCTCGTGCTGGTGTCAGTGGGCTCTGGAGGGAGCCCTGCAACCCATGAGAAGGGACCAGGCCAGGGATTCACCCCCAACCTCAGGCTGCTCCTGCATTCACCACACTGGGAAACCTCACACCGCTGACAGGAAGGGCTGGTGGGGGGAGCTAGGCGTGAAGGAGATGTAGGAAGGGGAGGCAGCAGGCAGACACAACTCTTCCGGGACATAATATCAGCTTCTGTTTAAAGTGCCTTGTCATTCACTTACCCTCCCACTTCCTCAGCTGACCTTGAGGATCATTTATCTCAGGGAAGAACAAGAGTAACTGTTACTGTTCCATTTAGAGAAGGAGAAGCTGAGGCACGGGAGGAGGTTGAGCCATCTGCCTGGTGGCAGAGCTGGGACCTGTGGACAAAGAATAAGAGGCGGGGGTCAGCCGGGGCGGCTCTTCTGCTCCTGCCACATGGCCTTCTGTCTTCTCTTCTGGGTCAACAACACCCACCCTCAGCCTGTGAGTGCTCCTGCCCACCAACACCCTGGTTGCTAAGCCTGACCTATGGTTGATTCACTCCTGCACTCCCACAATCTGGCCAAGTGCTTGGTATACAGCAGGGGCTCAACAAGGTTGCTGAATCAGTGGAGTGACCAGAGGAATTCTGAGTCCATCTCAGTCATCCGAGAGCTCACCCTGACGTTAGGCCATCCTTGCCCCCACCTGAGAGTCTTCTCCCGTACTGTGACGTGGGTGTGAAGTCGTCACTAGGTCCTGAAGCCACCTGGCTAGGTGAGGGGCTCTATCAATTTTATTTTCAGAAGTGAGAGGCTAGAGGACCAGCAGCCAGTGTTGCCGGGGAGATCCAGAGGGAGAGAAGGCGGAGAAGTGGAGGAAGGGCCCACAGTCTGCTCCGAGTCTTTCTATTGGTGTCACCAGCTTTGACACCTCTAGTTATTTGCTTTGGCCATGAGCAGTCTCTTAAGGACAGGGACCTTGCCTCTTGCTCCTGTCCCCAGGTGCACACGAATGAAAGAATGACAGTAAGCTCCTGCCATGGCTTGCCGTAACAGAAATCAGAAGCCCAGGACTGGAGCCACAGTGTAGGCCACACCGCCAACTCCCTTGCTTAGAGACCTGGACGTGGACGACTCCATCAAGGGTACAGAGGGAACCAGGACAGATCCAGGTAGGAGGCGTGAGCTGATTTTCCGAGATCAGATCAGTCAAAGCAAGGCCAGCTGCCTTGGCTTGTTTCGGGAATCACAGGGACCCTGTTGGGAGCCACCGACATGCACTAGAACCCCCACACTGATTATCCCAGAATCTCCATCACCAAGGGGAGAGGCCTGATGCTCTCCTAATGACATCACACCTATAGCAAGGATCCTTGAGGCTACTTAACGGTGAAATAATTATATGTGCCCAGAACTGGGAGAGCAAGCGTTTCTGCAGAGCAGCCCATGATGCTCTTAAACAAGGTTTCACTATAAACTGAAGGTCGAGTAGGGAGAGGCAAGATTTCCAAGCCAGGACTCCACGTTTTAATGCCACCTTTTATGTTTTGGCACCTTCCCAGCTGTGTGTCTCTACTGCTGTAGAGACATATTAAAACAACATTAAAGGAGATTAAAAGAGTAACAATTGTCATCCATAATCATATTGCTATAACTAAATTGTACGCACATGCATGCGTCTCCTTGTTTAATGACGCCCGTGATACATCAATGCATTATCATCAGTAGCAATTAAACAATCAAGAAGGACACGCTGCAGTCAGTAAAAGTGTCCAGTCCATGCCAGACACACCCGTTCCCTTCTCTCCGGAAGTTAACACAGTTGTCAGCTTAGTGGCTGACAATTACAGTGTATCTTTCCAGAACTTTTCTGAGTTCACATCTAAATATACACAGGTAGCTACCCAGTGTGCAAACACACAGTGTTTATTTCAAACATTAACAGGATCATAGTATGTGTTGTTCTAGAACTTGCTACTTCTCCCCTTCCTAGGTCTTAGAGATCTTTCCAGGATACTACAGAGATCTACTTCCACATTTGTAAATAGCTACATAGTTTTTTATAGAATGGAAACATCCTAATTTTTTTTAAAAAAAGTAGTCACCATTAAGGATATTTAGGTTGTTTCTGATTTTTCAATGTTCCAAAAAAAGGACTACATGTAGCCTCATCTTGCTTTAGGCTCCTGCCTCCTTCCCAAGGCTGATCAATCTTTTTATTCTCGTCAGCAGAGAGTCCTGTGGGGGAACATCAGCTCCACGAGGGCAGAGGTTTTGCTTTATCCCCAGTGCCCATAACCATGCCTCGCTCAGCACATGTTCACAAGAAATGTTTGTCGAATGAATAATTGACTGGCAAGACAAAGACGAAGCTGCAAATCATTTTAGCAATTACTGCTTGCCTAATTCTACATTTTGCAAAGTGTTTCAACTCCCTCCCTAGACCCATTCAATGCTCAGAACTGCTTGTGAGGTCGGCAGATCCTGCACTGTCATCGCCCCTGACCTCCTGATGAATCCTGGCCTGAAGTCAGGGTTTAGGAGTCGGAAGACAAAGGTCCAAAGCCTTGTGCTGTCATTTCTCTGTGTGTCTTTGGAGAATGCACTTAACTTCCATGAGCCCCAATTTTTTAACTTATAAAACAAAGACACACATACCTCCCCTTGAAGGGTTTTATGACAGTTACTGTGATTGGCCATGCAAAGTCCCCATACACAGCAAGCACTCGGTAAGTGATGGTTCCCTTTTGTCCCTTCCTTGGTATATTCTTTCTGCCTGTCCAGGGTAAGCCACCCATTCCCTACTTGTCATGTACCTACCAATGACAAAATGCCCTACTGTTTTCTCTAAAGGACTCCTGGCAAACTTACAGGAGTTTCCTGGGGTGAGGTGCAGGAAATATTTGCCTGTCTTATTTAAATATAACATCAGCACCATTTTCCTGAGTATTTTATATTTGAACACTTATCACATTAAATTATATGGGGCTGACTAGTTCCCCAACTAATTCTTGAGGGAGAGAATCATGATTGACTAACTTTGTTAAACGTGGGTCCACTGCAAGTTTCCTTATAAATAGTAAATGCTCAGTATGGGTAGGATAAAGAAATGATCCCCAAAGAGCGTGAAAGTCTGGTCCTGTGCTTCTAGACTTCTGAGGGACAGGCTGACATGCTCTGCTCTCAAGAGCCTTCCGGAACCAGGCTGCCCGTCCAGTGGCTGGTAGAAGGAACAGACCCCTTCTCTGCCCAGTGCTGGGTTGATGCTTTAGCCTGCCTGCTCCTCAGTCAAACCTACCCCCAGCCGTGCTTCTGCTGGGCTGCTAGTACATCTTTCCTTTTCCCTTTGGAATTGCAAGACTTGCCCATTTCTACTCCCTTTAAATAATTTGAAAGTCAAAAATAATCAATACACTCCAGTAGAGACTGGGGAGTTAAACTGGGATGCCCTCACAGCAGCGAAAGGAAGACATTTCCCGCGATACCTGAGACTGTGTGCACTTAAGGGCCTACAGGGAGGTCTTCTACTGGACTCTGAGCTCCCTGAGGGCTGGTATCATAGGATTTGTCATTATCGAACCCCCAAAGCCAACAGAATGCTTGGCACCCACAGGGGTGTGTTTTGGGGATAAGGATATTGCTGTCTAGTCAGTTTTCTTTTTATTTTCATGCCACACAATCACTATAACTCAATATACTTGTATTCTTACCAAATTTAAAATTCTTGTGTTTTTTATGAGTAGGTCTTTTACAGGCCTTTTGGGTGGAATCTTAACCAACTTTTATAGCATGGTTTTTACGACAACATACTCAATGCCAGATAACGACTAGAAAGAAACTTTGGGAATTTGTGTGAAAGTTAAGGTTTTCTATTGTCCTGCCCTGCCTTAGTTTGGATTCCTTCCCCGACCCCACAACCATCTCTGTTCCATTCAGTCCTGGGGAATGAATCAAGGAGTGCTCTACCACTGAGCTACATCCCCAGCCCTTTTCATTAAAAAAAAAAAAAAAAAGTTGTTGATAGACTTTTTTTTTTTTTTTAATTTATATGTGGTGCTGAGAACCGACCCCAGGACTTCACACATGCCAGGCAAGTGTGCTAACGCTGAGCCCCAGCCCCCGCCCTCAGCCCTTTTCATTTTTGAGGTGAAGTCTCACTAAGTTGTCCAGGCTGGCCTCAAAGTTGCCATCCTCCTGACTCTGCCTCCCAGGAACTGAGGTTAGGTCTGAGCCACACTTCACAGCTCGGCACAGAGCTTAGCGGTTCTCCAAGGGACCCTCACCCCTGTCGGAAATGCAGGACGTCCCATTGAACATATCAGAGGAATAACCCAATCTGGAAGATTGTGGGTCCCAACAGCATCTTAAAATGGCATCACTCTTTGAAGGATGCAGCCCCCTTAGATTTAACTGGACTGGAGTGAAGGGGCCCTGCCGCTCTCCCTCTCCACAGGGCGTGGTGTGGGCAGTCTGTCTTAGCTCAGCCTGTTATGCTTTGAGCTCAGTCTTTTTCTTCTCCATCTCTCTGGTTGGCCTTTTACTACAGTATCTAAGATTCCGTCCCTTATTTTTCTCTATGAAGGTATGATCATTTACTGTAAAATGCTTTAAAAGTCTTGAATCCAGTGAGTTTTCATAGTTGCAAACACCCTTATAACCATTACCCAAATCAGGATAGAGAGCATCTCTGGAAGGCTAAAAGGCTCCTTCTGGCCCTCTCCAGTCACCCCTCTCCAGGATGCGGTCCTATCTCTAGATGAGATTTGCCTGCTCTGAACTCATAAAAACAGAACCACAAAGCCTGTTCCTTGCCTTTCATTTTTTTTTCCTGGAACAACTATAACAAAAATCATTAATAATAACAATAATGAAAACGTATAGCCATAATCTAATTTCTTTTCTTTTCCAAGATGTTCAAAGTTAACATTCTAAAATGTTTGGCAGTGGTGGCTTCTGGGTAGAAGGAATTTGGGTTATTGTTACCGACTTCTTTATAGAGTCTGGTATAATATAAACAAATGCACATGATTTTGTAATAACAAAGGGAAAAAGGTTTGTGGAGGGACGTGGCTCTTGTGGGGAAGTGAAGAAGTGAGGTTCGGAAGGGGCCTGATGGGGGAGCCTTGGCCTTCTTGAAGCCTGGAGAACACTCATCCTTGGTAAGCTCTTGCTGGTGGTGGTGACTGAGGCGGGACTCGGCATACTATGTCAAACTCACTGACCTCTCAAGCCATTTCCTATCTGGATTCTTGTTTGTCTCTTTGGACATGGAACCATTTGACTAAAGGATTCCTCCTCCCTCAAATTCTTCCCTTGGACCTTTTTTGGAGAGAAAGCACCATCTAAGGATAAAATCCTAAGTTATTATTAGTTATATCATAAATGTCTAAGTGAAA